TAGTTTCATTTGAGCGCATGTTGTAATAGATGTTCTTGTTTGCAGGAAGCATATTTTTAATCTCAAGTTTGTGTGCTCTTAGCAAAAACAACGTGCTTTGTATAAAATGTTGAAACTACATAACTAATAATCTTACCTTACACACACCACATAAGTGCTACTGTACTTAATGTCCTGTTTGACGTATATCTAACCTGCAGGGAGAGGGTAGCAGCTCATTTGCAGTTTGAAGTAGTAGGGCAAGATGAGTCGGTGTATTTTGAAATGCTTAATGGATACAAAATCAGAAACACAAACCAGAGGCTGAGATATGTATTTTTGTGCATTTTCCATTAGTTCTTATATGTGTATGGGATGTGTGTTTGGATTCCTAAAAAAATGAAATTTTTTGATTTCCAGAGAAAAAGGGGGATCAAAGTCTGACATCCAAAATGCACACGTTTAATTCATAAAAAGGGAGGTGGTGGTCTGGATCCACTCAGGGTGTGAGTGTTATAATCTTAGAAGAACTCAGCGCATTAATTGCCTGATGTCTGGAGGGGAGGCTGACTTTTTAATGGGAGGGGAGATTGTGAGAAACATTTTGGTTCCCCTGGCATCACCGTGACCTGGCAGAGGGCACGCTTCAGTATGATCATGAGCACGTGCCCTTGTTGGCTCCACTGGCATGTGTACCTTTGGTTATTCCTTGACAATAAATGAGCCAGCAAGCATTTAAAATGCAAAGTAGGTAGCATGCAAACCAGCAGTAGTTTGCCAGTGTTGTAGCAGCTAAAGAGAGCCTTTTAAAATCCTTTCTTTTTATAAAAAGTGTTGCTCAGATTTAACGCTGTTGTCAACAGTAATTATTGATTCCTCCGTTTTATTGAACTGTATATAAACCCGTGACCTCAGTTCTATTTGCAGAATTAAGGACACAAGGTGCTTAAGTGGCTTGTTTGCGTTAGCTGTCGTGGACATCCTTTTAGGGGACACCGGCCATAACTGGAGGTGTGCGGTGGGGAAGGTGTTGGTGTAGCAGTGCTGGTAGGGTGTTACACCAGGGCTAGTAAGTCCTGTCTGTTGGCACACACCTTCTAGTGCACTGCTGTTTGTGCAGCTCTGTAGCTTCAAGACTGGTGCAGCCTCTGGCAGGACTGAACGCAGAAGAAATGCACCAGTTTATTAAAGTTGTAGTTTGGGATCTGCCTTAAGTGAGTAGTAAGTGCAAGGGCTACCAGGATCATTACAAACAGCGTGAAACTTGGAAAAGAGGTCTTGGAATTAGGTTTAACAAGACTGAGAAAGACACATCTTGCTTAGAGCAACTGTAAATTAAGAGTTTGTTGAAGCAAGGATTTTAAAGAATTTATTAAATCTTGCTGGCATCACCACTGTAGTATTACAAAGCAGTTCTTTAAAAAAAACCACACCATTTTCTAAGAGCAGATTTAATACTTTCTCTATCCTGTGCTGATTAGAGATGCTTAAATAAACTGTTAGCAGTTATTTTGCTGAAGAATGCAACTTTGTAGCAGTTAGTCCCAATTTGCTATTCTACACCTGCGAATATAAGGAACATATAGGACTGGTTTAGTATATGCGAATGGAAAGGGACAGTTGTCCAACTCTCAATGTCATGTGTGACTAGTTAGAATTTGTTATCTGTAATAGTAAAAAGTGTTAGTTTCCTGATTGACTTTCAAAGAATATTAACAGTTTTTCCTCTTGTTTTTAATAGCTGGAGTAATTGTACCTGTAGGAAAACTTTTACTTTAGAGGTTTTCATTGACCTTAATCAAGCTAAATTATTTGTTTCATTGAACTTTTTTCTTAACTTGAGTTGATATTTGTAATTGAAGTGGAAAACAAATGATTGTGGTGGTGTTGTAATTGAATTACTAATTTGTGTGTAAACTCAAAGCACTACCTTTGGCAGGTCTATAGTGAAACACAGTAATGAAACCTGGCAGACTTAGGAATTTGTTTCTTTGTGTGCAAAAGGAAAGTTGCCAGATGTTTTTCCTTCGGTATTGGCAGACATGAAGCTTTTGGTATTGTGTTGATGCCTACGGAGCATTACTAATTGTAAAGAGCAGTTGAGCAACCTTTGCTTAGTTCTGGCAAGCTGTCTGACTTAAGTGTTAAATGGTTCAAACAGTTCTGTAGAAGAACGCGCTTTTCCAAAACTGCTACTGGTTTGCATTGTTCATTGCAAAATTTAACAGTAGGGGAAATGTTTCATGGTGTGATTTTAAGATGATTAATATAAAGATCTGCCTTTGAAATTACAGTGCCGTTGACATATTATTTGACATCATCTTTTTAACAGGTGGCCTTTTTTCTACTTCATTTCATTCATGCGTTATGCCTACTATTACCAGGAAGTTGAAAATTTACTCTCTCCACAATTCATTATTTATTTTTCCTTTTAAAAAACACAACAAAAAATTTAGTTCCTGAAAGACAGCAGTGTTTGAACCACATCTGTAAAAAAAAAAAAGTTTTGTTGATGGATTTGGTGAAACTTGCATGAAATTTCTGAGATGGCTTTTAATACACAATTTTGGATCAGAGATGGTTTAGACTTCTTTTTTTTGTGTTTGACAAGGCTTTTTCTTTACACTGCAGAGCTCTATTCTCTCTCTGCTCAGATCAAGCTCCTCTGCCAGTATAACTGTTAGCCTAAGACAAGTATACCTACCTATATGAGCAGCCTTAATTCTTTTTTCTATTTCTGTTTCTGTGGGAGAGAAAAGCGAGAGTTTTTTGTTTGGTTTTTTTTTTAACCTGAGTTCTCAGCTGAATGGCAAATCATATAGTATGTTGTGTAGGAGATAATTGCAGGATTGGGAAGAGGTAAGAAGGGAGAGGTTTGAAGTGATTTCAGTTAATATTGATTATCTCCTTAGCAAGTAAAGTTGTTGTATTGTTGTAGAAAAAACTGTGATCATTAAGAGAATTGTATTTTTATAGTTAAAATGTGTTTATATGAAGAAAAGGCTTTTAACAGTAGAAATGGATGTGTGTGTCTTTAAAAAAATTCTCATTAATAGAAAAGCAATAATTACCAGAATTCTAATTTCCCACGTTTTGGATAGTAAAGCCTAGCTGGATCATTTCACTTCTGCTTTTATGCTAGCACAGATGGTGGTTTTTCAAAAGTGTAGAAAAATATTTCTTAAAGTTAGGATTAATAAGTGTTCTGAAATCTTAATCATTCTAATATTTTTTCTCAATCTACATATGAATACTTGAAAATTGCCACTAAAATTGTAGACTGTACAGCACAAATCAGTTTAGCGCTTTAGCTACTGTATTGCCTGAGAAACCCTACTAGGGTTTGAATGGGGTACTTTTTTGCTAAATGAAGAATAAACATCAAATGTCCTGAATAGCTCTCCAAGAATTGGTGAATATGTGCGCTAGATGCTTTTAAGGACATAGAAAAGGAGACAAAATGTTATGGTGATAACCAATACTTTTATCGCCATGTATTGTGCAACTGCAAGCTGTTTGAAGAGATTTTTGTTTAGGGTAATGATTATCAGTCATCCATTTATTTGGTCTATCTGAACAGCAGCAACCTGCTTTGGAAACTAAAAATAGAGTTGAATGTATCCTTTGCAATTCAATTAGGAAAGCGTATCTAGTTTTTTAGAACTTAGTCCATTTTATTGTCTCGTACTAACAACTTTACAGATGTCACTATCTTTAAAAGCACTTTGAAATGAATGCCAAATCAACAAAACATAACTAGTTTTTAGGATTAAAATGCACTATTTTTTCCCTACCTAAATTTTCAGGAGTTAGAAAAGCTTTGCATAAGAGCCAAGTGTAGTCCTTTCTGTCAAAGTTAAATCCCTTGACTCTGACAATATTGGCAGGGACACTCAGCTTTCACCAAGGGTAGACATTAGGAAAATGTGTAGTTTTTGTTAGAGAAAATAAAAATCTTTTTTCCTCCTCACTTTCATCCCGATCCTTGGTATACAATTGTATGTGAAACAGCAAAAGTTTTTCCAACACACTATGCTTCTACACTTCTGTGTGAGTTTAAGTGTACGAGTCTGAACCATGTTCTTTTGTTTTTTATTTCCCTCTTTGATTTAGCACTCTTAGGAGGGATGGTGTTCAGAAGGGAGAACTGAAGCAAAAATCTTCATACAAATGTATACTAAAATAAACACGTTCACGATCTACAAATGCTATGATATTCTAGGACATTTATACCATGAAATACTCTTTGTAGTTGAGGAGGTAATCTTTTGTGTCTAGGTATTGTATGACCATAGTGTGTCTTATGTGTTGATTGCCAGCGTTATTATCTTTCTGTATAACAAGGTCTTCATGGTTCTATCTTTGATATTTAGCATGCATTCAAAATGTGGCTGGAGTTTTGAGATGATGGATAAAAGTACCATACAGGTATAAAAGAAATTTTAAAGTCAAATGCCCTCTCTAAATCTAGGCAGTTTGCTAATAAATATTTGCAGGAATTAAGAATGACAGTGCTAACAAACTTCTTCATAAACCAACCACAATTCCAGCAATTGCACTGAATTGCTTTACGGATGCTAAGCATCTAGTCGTGGAAATCAGATGTGCATTGTTCCCTGTTCACAGGCAGCAGAACTGATGTGGAGGGATTGGTTTTGCTCCATGCCTCCTGGGCATCTGGGCCAGTTGGAAGTAGAGCAGGCTTGTCCTTGACAGTCAAGGTGAATAGGGGAGAAACAAACATACCGGGTCTGGTTTATGTTGGGTTTACCTGCTGCTGGAAATGTTGCACAAAGTGGAAAGTGTATATTGTGATGCTGCCAAATTGGATGGCTCACAGACTATATAGCGGTTGTCAAATCCCTATGATGTTTCTGAGGTGACTCATAGTGGTGCAAACTATTCTGCTTGTTCAGACTGTTACAAGTTAATATTAAAAAAAATAATAATAAATAACAATTGCACCCTCGTTACTTTTGCTTCTTATTCCTCCTTTTCTGTTTACTGTATTTTATTTATAGGTGTTGATTTTAAAATCAAAACAGTAGAGCTAAGAGGAAAGAAAATTAGATTACAAATCTGGTAAGTAAAACAAACGTGCAACCAGCAGTATGTTTTAATTTTTATGTTCTAGCATGAATTAATATGCCTGTCTAATACTATTAACTGTTATAAGCTGGTTTAGCTCTTACCCTACTCTTCCTCTCCTCCATTCCCACAAGACTTAAGCAAAACCAAATAGCTCTTAGATTTTTGTGAGGGTAAAGGAGGAGGAGAGATAAAGTTAGAAATAGGACATGGATGTAATTTCTGAAATGTTAATGCATCACAGAGGTTTCAAGTCCCTTTTCCTAGAATGATATCACCTACAAAAGAAATAGAATAGGAGTTGTACAAAATCCAAAAGGTGACTGTGCTAAATAGACACTAGAGAAAGTACAGTTTGGGGACTTTTTTTGTTTTCTGGACTGTTTTAAACTGACCTTCATTGTAACAGCAATTATAAAACAACTGGGAAGTATTTTCTAAACTGTTTTCCTAAAACTTGGTGTAGGCAGTGCTGTTTCTTTGACACTTTATTAAATAACTTTAAAGTGAAGGGCATTCAAGACTAAGTAAATTATATCCTCTCTAAACAGCACTGAGAAGTAAAATGATCCCATATAAATAAGACTCTATACCTTAACTGATACCGATGTTCTACGATAGAAAGCTCAAAGTCTGAGCTAAGCTTTTCCTTTCTGGAGTAGGTTACATGATTCCTGCTAATGATTCTCCATGTCAATGATTAATACAGTTTTTATTGTTTAGAAGTTATTGAACTTAAGAGCTCTTTTGTTTTGCAGAGTAGCGCAATACATAAACATGAGAGAATAAACCAGCTATGTTCTATACATTAATCTTATATACTACTTTGTAGAAGCTTAGCTTTGGTTTATTAACAGTGCGTGGTGCATAATTGGCATAGTTAAAGTGTTAAAGCTGCTAACAATCCACAGAGGGGGAAAAAAGCTCTTGTAACTTGTTGTTACACTTTGGGATATTCTGGTGGTTTCTCATTCTTAACTACATGGATGCAGTGAATTCAGCTTACTAACTCCTCTTGGCAGGTCACCATCAACTCTGTTTGTCACACCATGTGTCTGTCTTGCTTCCCTCTGAGTTAACTGCTGCTTCATCTTTGGTATCATCAGTCACCTAACACTTGAATGTTAGTGGCATGTCTTCATCCATCATCTGTCCCTGTGTGGAAACCTGTGACCACAAGGCTGGCAGTTGAGCCAGCAATTGTTAGCCAGGGTCTGCTGGAGCTGACAGAGGTAACAAAAAATTCTGATATGGAGATGCTACTGTACGCCTGGTATGAATTCTTGCTATGAAATGTGCTAAGCTTATAAAAAAATTTCTTCATGTTGGATAAATACTTCATAGGAGAGATGTTTTGTTGGAAAAGAGATGTTTAAACCATTATTTTCCACATATTGAGAATATGCTAGTAGGATACAGGAAACTTTTAAAACTAAAGATTGATAGGTTGCTAAAATGTTAACCATTACTCCTATGCAAAGCCCCGCTAAAATGGTGGAGAAAATCCCAATGTAAGGAGATAATGACTGAAAATATGTTAAAATCCATGAACACAACATCCTGCTCCTAAGTGTCACTTTCTCTCCAACAGTGGCTGTTAATATGCTGTTCTTATACTTAACCCTTAAAACTGTCTCGGCATACTTCTAATTTTTTGGACAAGCAATTAGATAACCACTTCTTTTGCTAATTTATTCTAAACTATGTTGTGTATGTTGTTGGGCCAATTTATAAACTCTTATTATCATAAATCACAGAATCATAGGATCCTTTTGGTTAGAAAAGACCCTTGAGATCACTGAGTCCAACTGTAAACCTAACACTGCAAAGTCCACCACTAAACCATGTCCCTCAGCACCACATCTACATGTCTTTTAAATTCCCCCAAGGAAGTGACTCAACCACTTCCCTGGGCAGCCTGTTCCGATACTTGACAACCATTTTGGTGGAGAAATTTTTCCTAATATCCAATCTAAACTTTCCCTGGCACAACTTGAGGCCATTTCCTCTTGTCCTGTCGCTTGTTACTTGGGAGAAGAGACTGACCCTCACCTCCCTCCAACCTTTCAGGTAGATGTAGAGAGCAATAAGGTCTCCCCATAGCCTCCTTTTCTCCAGGCTAAGCATCCCCAGTTCCCTCAGCCGCTGTTAGATTAAAAGAGAAAAGCAATTTACCAAGTCAAACTCTTGGAATTTTAGACATACAGACTTAAGCTGCATGGCTCATCCTGTCAGTCTACTTTTGTACTTACACAGAGACAGAATGAGGGTTGCTTCCTACGTCCTGGTAGTCTTATCTACAATGATTACAGTAACTTTACTACAAAAAACTGTTTTATTTGGTGAACAGATATTTTTTAAAGTTTATGCTTTTCTGTTTTCTTAAAATGCCTGAGTTTAGGTTTTGAAGCATTAAAGTTTGATTATTTTTTTCTTTTTTGGTCATTTGATTCTACTTCAAAAATAAAACAAGAACAGTTTAAAAAGAAAGTTTAACTCTGGTGTTTTTATGGTCACTTGACCTGTCTCTGTACTGAGTGCCCTGTCAGCAGAGTGTTCTCCCCAGACCTCTACTACTTGAATTTGTGAAAAACCAGCAGTACTATGTTGGCTATATTGAGCAATTAGGTGTGCAAGACATCCTTTTGAAAGGTGTTTTCCACACCTGCGGCTGTTTGTGGAGTAGTACCTAAATTGGGCTTGTCTCCCATGTTCCTTTCACAATGGGATACTGTGAGCTGAGGATCACAGAGGTGTCTGTGGTTTGTCACCTCTAGCTTACCTGTTCCTATCCAATCCCTGCTACCTCCCAGTACCTCTTCCCTCAGGAAAAAACCTCCTGCTCCTTAGATTGAGAAATGGTAGAGCAGCAGTGAGGAGGCAGAGTAGCGTCCATCTTCTCTGTGCCACCTGGAACACCAGGAGTGTCTCTTGGGCTGCCAGAAGTAGTCAGTAGATTACATCAGCTGCTACATTGCAGTTCTTGGCTGACAGAAGCTCACCCATTCTGTGAGAAGTGATGCGTACGTGCAGCTCAGGCCCTGGGGTGAAGTCACTGGAATTAGTGTCCAAGTGGATCCAAGCATCTGTGAATCAGTGCTTTTACAAAGCATGAAAACTAGACCAAATAACCAGAAACCTCCTCTGGTGCTTTGAAGCATAGGTGTGCCGGGAGTTGTTCAGCAGGACATCAGGGTGTCTGACTGTCCCCTCTTACCTCTGTAATCCGGACACTGGGCTGACACAGGCAGCGGTCACTCTGGCTTCTTCTCAGAAAGGACCTGGTTACTGGAAGCTGTGATGACCTGCTGCTGTGCCCAGTTCCCTGCTCTCCCCAAAAGAGCTCTCTGGTATCTCTACAGGTTTAAATGCCTGAGGAAGCCAGTGACTTGGCAAGAAAACAGTCTCATTTGCTTCTGAAGGTTGTCTAAATTGGTGCTTTCTCATAAAAAGTTCACCTTCTGCCAGCTCAGCATTTTCTAATGGACTTAGAAAGTCTCTAGGGTAGTAGTCTGAGGAAAAGATCACCTGTTCTGGAACATAACAGAATCTTCCTTCAATTCAGTACCTCCGATATAAATTATTTCCTGTAATAAAAGATTTTAAATATATTTGTGTTTTTTATGGAGGAAAAAGCTCAGCTTAACAGGTAGAATTAACCTCTAAAATGATTTAAAAACATTTTTAAAAATATTGTTATAGGCTCCATAAAAGCACAGAGCATGTGAAAGTGTTAAATTAGTGTTAAATTTTTATGTATGTTTAAAAGTATTTTCCTTTCTATTGCCACTTCACACTACCACTCATAAAAGATTAATTTAACTTCAGAGACAAAGGCAGTTTTGAGTCTATTTGTTTGTTTCAAGCAACTGTTTTAGATAGACACAGACAATATAAAAGTAAAACAAAAATTATCCAAACTTATTTTAATTAAGATCAACTGTATTTGTATTGTATTTTATGCAGTGTGAAATAGTGAGAATATGACAAGTCAACACTTGAAAATGGGCTTTGTGTGTTTTTTGTATTTGCTTTTGTTTGGTGTAATGTTTGTATTTTTGGAGTGATGTCTAGTTTCTGTTTGGGAAGCAGAAAAACAGAGTCAAGCAGTGGGGTTGTATTATTGCAGATTATAGACGGTCAAGGAGTCGTACGCTGTAGGTTTCCTATGACAATTTAGAAATACCAGTGTTTTCCATTGGAACAATTTTTTTCTTTTTAAAATCAATAAAAGAAAACTGCCTTTAGCATGAAGAAAGGAGTGATCTGATATATATCTTTTTCAGTTATGCCAAATAATTGATCAAGTTGTAGTAATTTATTATTTGGACTTCTATTATTCTTCTATTATGTCAATTCTGACCAGACCAAATGAAGAACTAGCAGCATTTAGTGTCACGAAATTCATGAAGTTGCATACTGTTAGCCCAGTTAAATAATGCTCATCTCTTCTTCCAGCTTTCCACTGGTGCATCAATAGCTATCCTTACTAAAATACTCCACCTGCAGGAGTGTAATACATCAATGAAAATAGTAAAACAAACTTAATTGTTTCAGCACTACACACGAGAAGGCGGCATTTTAAATTGGCTATACTTTTAATATTAGCTCTGCATTAGGGGTTGTCACTTTTCCCTCAATATTGGAAGAATTTACTGCATGTTTTCATGAAAAAGAAGATAGCACCTGGTAGCAAGTGAGATTTTCCATGTGAAAGATCAACTTGATACTCAAACTACAGCTTATTTAGGTAGCTTGGGGTTACATTCTAAACTTATTTACTGCAGAAATAGTTTTCCAATTTTCACCTTACTATTTGAAGGCTAGTACAATGTTAATGTAATGTTGAAGACTGCAAATTCAGTTTATTTTCTTCCAGTTTTCAAATGAAACAAGGATTAGAATATGGTGCTTACAATCACAAACCTGTTGACTGGTTTCATTTAAACTTGCTGCGGCAGTAGAGGCATTGATTGTGTGAGCAAGTTCATGATCTAAAGCAAGGCAGAGAAAGTCAGCCATAATCCACTGTAATTAGCACGACTGGCAGGTGACAGTCAGTGGCCATCTGGCCATTTAACGTACATAGTGGGCAGCCAAGCTACCCATGGGTGTTTTAAACTGGCCACAGCATGTGATGTGTCTCAGCCAGCAAGCCAGACTGCAAGTTGTGTGATATTTTGGTGAACGACCTACACAGTGCAGGACCTCAGGGTACAGAGAGGAGCAGCAGCCTGGGAATGCTAGAAAATGTTAAAGAGCCTGATGGTGGTGTGGGGTGAGGGGAAGCTGATAGCACCAGCTAGACTTGGAGATAGAGCACTCCAGCAGCCTAGGGGAAATGTGGAGTTGGGGACAGCTGGAGTGGCAGAGTGTAATGGTGCATAGTTGGTTCCATCGCCTACCCCTAGGCTTATCCAGTGTGTGGATGACTGTCTTCAGAGAGGGTATTGAACATTAGTGTGTTTATTTCCCCTCTGTTTTTCCTAATGTATGAACTGAGTGATCTGGTACCCTGGGAGCCCCTCTGTGATAGGGGTTGCTAAAGGTCCTTAGCTCTGATCTGAAGGCAAAGTCGGGTAACTCTGAGGTGGCCCTTTCATTTCTGGGTTCCGATAGGGGCACATAGAAGAGAGGGAAGACTGGCCAGCAAAAAAAGCATAACTTTTTCTGTTATTCTGGCCAAAGCTAGAATTGATGTATTCTTCCACCTCAGGTATGCCCTTCCACCTGCCATCTAGTTATGTCTGCTCAGAACAATGGAACTAAAAGGGATCCCATCCTTAATACACTTGATCGGTCGGCTTGATTAGCAACAGATGGCAGTGGCTGCTCTACAAGGTCATAATTCTGAGAAGTCTGTTCGTAAACACTAAAGCAATGTTATCCATATGTGGAAAATCAACGGTTCATACTAGAATTTTTTAATTTTTCATGGAGTGAATGTCCAAAGGAACTTTCAAAAAATAAATCTGACCATAGCAAAGAAGTAACGGAGAGAAAGTAGAGTTACTTGCTCTGAGTAATACTTACATTTGTAATTTCAGCTGCCAGAACTTGTATTACTTTAATAAAAATGCCTCATTACTGATAAGAAAGCAACCAATTAACCATCTAAAACTGGTGTGAAATGCTACTAGAGCTTGCCTTTACTGAAACAGGCTACCTGTTTTCACCTTCTGTAGGGCCCCAAAAGTCTGTATGAACGTAATTCTGAAGTTCTGATTAGAGAATGGGGTTTGAATAAAAATAAAAATGGATGTGATAGGAACTTGTTCTCTTCTGCCCCATATTGCAATGCCATTGGGTTGCAGTGAAGTAGTCGTCAATATTTTTCCACGGACTATGAAGCAGAGCTTTCAAATATTTTTCTAGTGGACTCTGCTTTGCTTTGTAAAATCACTAGAAAAGATATGTTGCTATCAAGTACACTGGTGGCAATTTCAGGAGAAAGTTAAGTACTTCACTTTTAAATCTGCCTAGTTAAAATTCTTGAAAATGTTGTGAAGAGCAAGATAGGTTTGTGAAAAATTAATACTACTACTTGTACATAGACTTTAAAAGAATTAATTTGTTGGGACAATCAGTGTGGCATTTTGTGAACATGGCTTTTTTTTGGTAGCAAGTGTTTTGGGTCTCCATTGTTAATCTCATTCCCAAATTCATCATTCCTCCTCCTTTTGTCTAAAATGTGATTGTTGATGAGAGTTCCTTTTGAACTTTTGAGTCCCAACACACATGTGCACATTTTCCCCCATCCACTCTTAATTTTGGTCCATCTTCTGACTTGCTCTGACAGTAAAATTTCAAAAGTATCCGTTGACTCTGGGGGCTGAACTCAAGCAGCAAATGCTTGATCACTTCGGAGTACTGTGTAACTTACTTTCCAGTTGTGATACCAGTCACATTTTAAGACTTAGGGTATGCACCAGCTTTTTTTTTTTTTTTTAATGTAACTGCCAAAAGTCTTCCATAAGCAGGTTTGAGTATATAATTGAAAGAGTTCACAGGTTTTCATGTTCAGTAAAAAATAAGCCTTGGGTCTCATCTGCTTTGGAATATAAGCCATAGCTAGTACAGGTGACATGGTGTCGTTGCTAGAAAAGTCTCCAGTGTAAATGCACCCTGTCTGAAATACCTGCAATGCTGGAAGTGAGAATGGAAATGTTATTTGAAAACCTCAGATTAGGAGATGTAAGCATGAAAGCTAAGTTTCTACTTTCAAAAGCCATACCATATAGTGGTTGTTGACTCTTTCATTCACGTCTGCCAGTGGCTTCTGCATTAGTTTTAGAGCCATTGGCTGAATTGCTGTGGTTCATCCAAAAAGGCTCTGAAAGCTCAAATCATAATGATCAGTGCATTGCTCATTTTATAGTTGGGTGTCCGGCTGTGTTTGAGAAGCACGTGTCCGTTTCTTTTTACCTTTTTTTTCAGGGCCATTAAAAACAAACAAACAAACAAAACCAAAAAAACCAACCCAACCAAACCCCACAACAAACCAGCTTCATCTGCTGGTACGTTTTCATTGGACAGCTTCATTCTCAGACACGTGTACAGCTGTTTGGTGGCCTTTCTTGGTGAAGTTAGTATGGGATAAATAGTCCTGATACGAAAAGTTTTTATGATTGAAAGTACTGCTCCACCTTTTTTTGCCTGAAATTCACGTATATAGAAGGAAATGCTCAATATAGAGTGTCTAACGAGTGTGGGGGTGTTTTTATTAAACTGTAAACAAAGTTATTCTGTGCTTTACAAATTGGTGAAATATTTGTGCCAATGTTTGCTGCTGCTTCTTAGGGACACAGCAGGTCAGGAGAGATTCAACAGCATTACCTCAGCTTATTACAGAAGTGCCAAGGGAATTATTTTGGTGTATGATATCACCAAGAAGGAAACATTTGACGATTTACCAAAATGGATGAAAATGATTGATAAGGTAGGCATTAAGTATTTTTTTTTTTACATTCTTTTTTAAGAATCGTTTTTTATCCTCGAAGGTACTCTGTAGGGCTTCTCTGATAAAGGATTATTAAACTAATGCCAACTAATTTTCACTGGATTCTTTTAGCCGGGATTTAACATTAATGTGGTTTTGTTGTAAAATGGTTGTCTGTTCCTGCTTCCTTGAACTAGAATTGTCCCAGTTAGAATTGTCAGTGGAAATCTGTAACATTACACATTTACCTGTGCACTGGGGAAGAAAAAAAAGTGGTTTATTTCCTGTCTGTGAAATAAGGTCATTTTGTTCATTCTTAGTTATGTTTTCAAAACAGAATTTAAAAAATTAAGTTGAAAATTTTTGAAATAGTGTTTGGGAAGAACTTACATATAAACTGTGTAGTTGTCGTTCCTTATTTAGTAGAGGAATTACCCTTTTTTAATATTGTGTTGACATTACAAAATCTTACATTTCTAGGTTTAGTTAATTAAAAATGTTTTAATTGCAGTACGCGTCAGAAGATGCAGAGCTTCTATTAGTTGGAAATAAACTGGACTGTGAAGTTGATCGAGAGATTACTCGGCAGCAGGGAGAAAAGGTAAGAATGGGTCTAACCAAATCCTTTGTTGCTGTTGGAAGCAAAAGTGCTCTGACATTGGTGCTGGTGGTCCATGGGTGCTCTTGTTCAGACTGTTAGACCTAAGGAGCGTATTGAGTGTGGTGGTGGTCTGTCAACATCCGTATGGGATTTATTTACTTCTATAGAATTTGCAGCTATATCCTTTCCTGCTGGAGCAGTAGGTCTTTGCTCTAAAGAAAGAATAAACTGCAGGTTGGCTGACAGGACACAGTAGTGAAGGGGATACTCCTCTTTGGGCTCTGAAAGAGGATATAGTGAAGACTTGAATCACAAATGGAGACACCTCTACTCCGGACATCTTTGTGAGCCTTCTTCCAGGCATTTGCTTTTTAGTAGTATTTAGGAGAGGCAGTGGCCCTTCTTCGTTACTTGGCTCGCCCTTATTTTTATGTTTCTTTTATTCTTTTTCAACTCCAAAAGTGTGAAGGAACCTGGCAAGAGAATATGTTTTAGCATAACACTCATAGCACCATCTTGATTGAGGTACATACATGGACATAGACCAATGTTTTCTTTCAGCTACCCATCATGCGTTTGGAAGTAAAGCATTTTCTGTTAGAGTGTTGAGGCTAATTCTTACATCTGTACTTCCCTTTTCTGCATTTTAATAATAAGGTTGAGATCAACTCATCTGAAAAGTTCTTACTTTTTGGCCATCTGCAGCAAGCCACATCAACTGGATATGAATTTCTCAGATTTAAGTCTTGAAAAATGCAGCACACTTTTCCAGTAAACCAATTTTAAGTGAAAATTAGCTATAAGTGGTAATGTTTTCTGTATGTAAGAGATTCAGGTTTATTAATTGAATTAATTTCAGTCAGATTTGGAGAAACTTGTGGGGTTTTTTAAAAGGTTTTATGGGGAGTGTATATTTGCTTTTTGTTGCTGTTTATGCTTATCTTCATGTAGTTATTTTATTTTCTCTTTCATCAGTTTGCACAGCAAATAACTGGGATGCGGTTCTGTGAAGCAAGTGCCAAGGATAATTTTAATGTGGATGAAATATTTCTAAAACTTGTTGATGACATTCTGAAAAAGGTACAATATTCAGGTGGTAATTCCTCTGACCACGTAAATGGTCGATGTTTAAATAATAGCTGCAGGCACTTGTTGGGAGGACATAGAAGACGAGTGCACACAGTCAGGTGAAATTTTTGGTTAATATGTAGTGGGCATGATGTAGTTCACCGGCTCTGCTGAATGCTTTAGTTAATAAATGCTGCTGTTGAAACTGGTAAACATCTGCTACTATTTGCTATACTTCCTCTTTCGTATAACTTGACTGTATATCAGCAACTGACTGTACATTTGCCTGCTTTCATTTGTGGGCAGTTCTCTCATAATTTGTTATAATTGGTTTAGGAATTGGCTTTATTTCAACAACGTCTTCTAACTTTCTTCTGAAAGAAGTTCTTAACACAACTTACTGAAACATATAGTTCAATAATAAGAGTCAAACTATCCTCAAATGGAGGCTTTGGCTGACGGTGAGCTCTTGAAACGAGCTTTGTGCTGAATTCTGCGCAGATAAGTGTTTACAGGTGATTTTTCTTTTCTTTAAGATGCCACTGGATGTTATAAGAAATGAATTGTCCAACAGTATCCTGTCCCTGCAGCCAGAGCCAGAAATCCCACCAGAACTGCCTCCTCCAAGGCCACATGTCCGTTGCTGTTGACTTGTTACTCCATACAGAGTGAAAAGTAGGAGCGGGAGGGTGAAGGAAGTATCTGTACTACTCTGCACTACAATCATTTGGCAGTTTCTTGTTGCACTTTGTTATTCGAGTCAGAGCTACACACTAACTTGTAAATATGCAAATATGCAATCCTGTGTAGGATTCAGCTATAACATTTAATTATTACCCCTCTCCCTCACAATGATGTTTCATTCATTGCCCCAGTGTTATAAATACTGTACAGTCGGTGGGAATTTACTACGCTTCCAGTCGAGGAGGAGGAGAAATTAAATCTATACCTATTCTTGACATAAATGTTGTAATAGTTCTTGTTATTATAAACAGGCAGGCAGAAGCTCTTCTGGTATGAAGATAAGTATATGGTGCTTTGCTAACTATTTTAAAGACAAATTTTTTAAAAACAGAGGACTTTATGTACAAAGCTTCCATAATCAGCATTATGTTTCCTTTTAATGTAGTGAAAACATTTTTGGCTGTAGCATCCTCTGCTGACTGGATTTATTGAAAAGCTAAGTTTAATTTTTGGCAGTCTTTTATTTATTTCGATTAATGCTGCACCCTTTCTTTGTATACCAAGACATCACATCTGGTGCAGATCTAAGATTGCACTCTGAAATAGCATATATAATTTTCTGCATAAGCATAAACTTGGTTGCAAGATTCATTAAGTTTTCAATAAAAGAATGAAGATATATTCAAGCTCTAAAAGAAAGTATAAAAAGCAATGCTGCTGTCCTAGACAAATTCTTTAAAAAAAAAAAAATTAAGATGATAACATTTTCCTGTGTTAAGGAATATATATGTGTATTTGTCTGGACATCTGTAGGGTTGGGGGGAAGGGAACCTAAGGTAAAATTATTTTCTTTCCTAATGGTGGAAATTATTCCCATCAAGCAAATACTGTGTTAGGTTTTTGTCTGATAATGAATTTGTGAATTATATCTTTGGTATATCTTTTATTAAAATGCACTGTTTAGTTTAGCTGTGGTAAATCAGTAGTTACATATTTGAATAACTTGGTGTGTCCTGAATGTTGTGGTATTGAAAAACATTGTGGTCTTTCTAAACTAATGAAGTGCAAATAAAATTTTGTATTTATGAATGACAATGGAACTGCACCTGTTATTAGAATGGCAAGTATCAAATGATGGGTAAAAAGGTATAATCTGGAATATGGAACAACACTTGTTTTAATTTTGTTATGATTTAATTTTCAGTTTGACAGTTCCTGTAGGTGTAGTTAGAAGAGCAGCAGACGTTAGTTGTTCACCTTGATCACTGCTCCGTTAGGAGAGCAGCTGATGACCTAGCCCAGCTGATATCTTCAAATAGCATGTGACTGCTTGTCATGCTATCTCAGCAAGTGGTCGCCAAACTATTAATTACGCTGACAACACAAGTATGAACCAGGCCTTGTCACACTGCAGCTTCTCGACTTCTCATTCTCTGGTGCTGGAACCCATTTTGTCGCTTTTGCCACTCGTTTAGCCAGAACACTGGCACTGACCAGTAAGGTATACCACTGACTTAAGCAGCTTCTCTCTGTTTTCTGGAAGCAAAAAAGACACAACAAACTGTTAACATAAAAAAAAAAAAAAAAAAAAAAAA